TAAATTTAGGCCAAGATGTATTCTACTACATGTCTTTGGGGAAAATAACCCAAATTAGGATGTATTTTTTAGTTTGTAGTAAAGTTATAGAGTTCACAAACTATGGTATAGATCTGAATATTGATCAATCCTGAAGTACTGACAGCCAATCTAATTTCTTGAGGTCCAAGAATCTCAGAATAGTACAGATATCCCCCAAATGACCCCTTTTTGCAGAGTAGACAGTCCGACGTACTTCATAAGAGGCATGGCGAGTTTTTTGAAGTTGTGTTTTTTTTGTCATTTTTCAGAAAATAAAAAAATAAAAAAAATTTATTTTCACAATTTTCTTTTTTACATACTGTCACCAGTGCAGTACAGCGTCATCATATAACTGGCATGGCGGTGATCAGGGACACTGACTGGTGACAATGTGAAAAAAAAATATATTTTTTTCAAACATTTTTTTTTATTATTTTAAATTTTTTATTACTTTTGTTTCAAGATTTTTTTTTCATATTTTACTATGTCCAAAGTAGTACAATGTTACCATAGTAACATTGTACTACTTTGGGGAAGTGATCAGTATTTTGTTTTTTTTTTTTTTACACAATTTGCTTATAGCAATTAAGCAAGCATTTACCTGAATGACATTGATTCATTCAGGGTTTTTTTTCTTTTTGTGCTTAGCTGTGATTTGGCTGCAGCTAATCACATGACATGTGCATGTGATTAGCTGTGACCATTCACAGCTAGACACTAGTATACAATGGATGGCATGAATGAAGCCATCCATTGTATACAACTGTCATGTGACCTGCTGTGATTGGTCACAGCAGGTCACATGGTACCGGCAATGGGGGCCGGTACTCCGATCTGTCATCGGCTGTGTCCGAGGTACACGGCCAGTGACAGATCGCGCCGCTGCGCGGCTCTGCAAGCGCGCGAACTGCGCATGTGCGGCCTCCCGGAAAGCTAGTACATTTTTCCGGACGCCATTCGGCCATAGGCCGGGCATCAAATGGTTAAACATAAAATGCGATGTGGAAAAACTGCACCACACAGATTTGTACCTGGCCTTAAACCGGCCATGCGTGGGTCACAATCCGAAAGCATTTTCTTTCGAAAATCTTTTCTAAGGATTTTTCTGATCAGGGTCTTCCAAACAATGGACCTTAATTAGGGTAGCTAAACCATTCAGGATAAGGCTTGGACTCGCAGTGAAAAACATGCAAAGAAAGAATGCTCCACATAGTGTAAAACCATAATCACATTTATTTAAAAATCACATTTATTTAAAGTGTGGTTGCACTCACATGTAAGCAAACATCATTAGGCATTGATTGGCAAAAAAAAATCAACATTTTCTAGTTTCCAAAATGGCCACCAGCCGTTCGCGCATGTGCAGTAGCGTGTGTGCGTGGCTCCACCTTACACGTTTCGTCACAGGTAACGTCATCATTTTTGTCAGTTTTATAGTGTGTCAATGGCTAAAACTATACAAAAAAGTAGCATAGCTTCAAAGGAATATAACCATAATTTTTTGCCAGAAGAAAAGCCTTGGGCACTATTATTTGCATTCGCTATGTCAATTAATAAGCATTTATTGAGAAAGACATGAAGAGGTTGACTGTCACTTGTATAAATGCCATTGTATGAGATTTAATCCTTAAATCGGAGTGTAGGTCCAGAATGGGCGAAATAGCACACTCTTGACACATTTCTTATACATTTCCAATACAAGATATTTGGAGTACAATAAAGCTGAATGCAGGCAAACAGCTATATACGCATTTGAAATACATACAGTATTTTCTTAATTGTACCTCATAGGACACAGAGGACTTTTTATTCATGACTACTTAGGTTATGCTGCCAACTTCAGGTGAGATGAATCCCCACCCAGACACAATCTCTCCCAGCTCAGCTAACCCTGTTAGCTAGTGGCCTTAGGTGATGAATGGATGTGCTTACAGATGTCTCTCTTTGGAAAAACGCCTTTCAGAGGCTTGATTCCCAATTCCCTGGCCTGCCCCTGATTCCCTGGCCTGCCCCTGATTCCCTGGCCTGCCCCTGATTCCCTGGCCTGCCCCTGATTTCCTGGCCTGTCCCTAACACCCCTGCATGTTCTCCCTGTTCCTGTGTGGGTTTCCTCCGGGTACTCCGGTTTCCTCCCACACTCCAAAGACATGCTGGTAGGTGAATTGGATCCTGTCTAAATTGTCCCTAGTATGTATGAATGTAAGCTTAGGGACCTTAGATTGTACATCCCTTGAGGGTTAGGGACTGATGTGAATGTATAATATATATGTAAAGTGCTGCGTAAATTGACGGCGCTATACAAGTACCTGAAATAAATAAATATTAAGTGTAAACTTAATTTTTATTGTAATAAATAATTAAAAAAGTGACTTTAATATTATTTTAAATAAAAGCTGTATAGCAAAACCTTAAGTGCTCCTTTTTATTTGCTTTGTGCACACATTCCGTTACATTTTGTGCAATACATAAAATAAATCGTTAATTATTATGTGGTCATGAATAATCCCACATCCGCACTCCAGTGCAAAAACTGAATTTATATTTTATATGTAATCCAATTATTGATTTATCCAATTATTGATATATTTATGTATATGTAATATACACAGTACATTGCATACAGTGTCACAGATTTTGCACACAGAGTGAATGAAGGGGCACTTCAAGTGTTACTAAACCCACAACAGTAAACTCAGTCTGTATATGCAGCCAAACATGTTTGTTATACTCACTGTGGAACCTAAGAGATTAATCCTCCATATTGTGTATTAAGGATGTTTGATCTTGTCCTCTCTGATCCTCCCCTTCTACTGTCCCCAATCTATCTGCTAATAGAACAGAGCTTTGGGGGAAAGCTGCTCATGCTCATTTTGGTGTGTATTGCTAGAGAGTGTTTTTTTTTTCTTTGGAGAGTGCATGTGATCAACACAGGGCCAATCAGCATTGTCCATACAGAGGGCCAGGGGTCCTGCAGCCTCATAGGACAATCAAGGAAGAATGAAAACGCCTCCCACAAGCTTTAACCAGTGCTCTGCTGGACACTGATATAAGTCATTAGACTGCTCTAACTGCTGATGAGAAAAGGTATTTAGCAGTTTATATTGACTAAAATAATTGCATTTCCATGTTCTGTGTACTGTGGGAGACCAGATATAGTGAATGCAGGGGGTGCTGGGTTTAGTAGCACTTTAAGGTGTTGATGTACAGTTATTATTTAACATTACAGGTTATATATAGTGCTGTTTTTTTTTGTAATTTCTATCATGTAGATATTTATGCCTCTCTGGACTCTGGGCTAAAAAAGGTCTTGCATGCCGCTTTGTAGTTGGGTTCCCCGTTCTGGGGTTTTCTGTGTTTTTGGCCTTTTTTCTATGTTGACCATCCCCTTTCTGTTTTTGCTACAAAACTGAGGCTTAGCCGAGGTGGGAGGTGTTATACCTGGATATTGCTTCCTTCCTTTTTTGGCCAGTGCCCATTCACCGGACGGTGACAACACAACCCAAGAAAAGGATTTTACAGCTAAACCCAAAATCCTAATCTACCTGGCAAAGAATTTTTCTATCCATCAGTTCCTAAGATCTTTTTTAACCACTTGCCGACCAGCCGCAGTAAATGTACTGCGGCTGGTCAGCAAGTAGTTAAAAAGATCTTAGGAACTGATAGAAAAAAAAAACGGTCCAATCTGGTCTTCTAAAAAAAAATTGAAAGGGATCTTTCCTTGTCTGTCTAAGTGGATTGGAGGGCTGTCAGGTATAAATAGACAGTGGAGTCTGTTTACTCCTGCCGCTCCGCAGAGCAGACTCTGTCCGTGTCCACTCAATGATCAGTGGTCAGATTTCCTGCTGATCTAAATGAAGACAATGATCTGTCATTCATCCACTCACTCTTCTCTGATCAGTGGACAGATTTCCTTCTGATCTAAACGGAGTCTGCCCTGTGTAAAAGGGACCTAACTGACCTAAACCCTTTGTGAGCACAAGCTACAGAGGACTTTTAGCTCATTTGCTAAAGTATCTACGTTAATAAACACTAATAGAACCCATACACATCTGACAAATACTTCATTGCACATTTTTGGCTTGATGAGTCAACCATCTCATCTGCGAATACCTGCAGACACATTTGGGGATCAAGTGATAGAAAACCTTCTTCATGTGCTATCTTCAATCCTCTTCAATTGGTGTTGTTAGACATGTAGACACTATTGTCAGACATTTTAAATTTGGTTCTTGATATAGCAACTAAATATGTTGTTTCTTTCATCCTTACATAGAACCTTAGAACCATGAAAGTCAATGGGAATCGAGTTATAGGGAATAGAAATTGTGCTTCCCTATCCATGAAAAATGCTATGTTCTTTTTACATTCAGTGAACCACTAATGTAAATGTCTATCCCGGGCTACCAGTGTAAAATTCTATTTGTTATCAAATGTGTTTTATAAATATAATTGTGAAATTAAATGCTCCGAATCTCATGTATATATCTATATTAGTGAAAGAAATATCTGTAAACAGATAATTGTGTTCCCACAACCTATATAAAACAGATGTAAAAATCTAGGTGCAGCAGTAGTTTTTTTTTTTTTTTTATTTCTAATGAACCACTAGGCCCTATAGACATGGGTACCATACTGTACACCAAGTCTTGTAAATAGTGGCTGAACATCTAGGTGAAAGGATATACAGTATAAAGCCAAATGGGTTGGTTGACATGAGCACTTGTTGCTTCTTGGCAAAAATTCCAAGCAGCCTCAGTTTGCTTTGAAGTTGGTTAATTCTGCCAACTGGACCTCCTGGAGACAAGTTTGCTGATTGTGGCCCAGAAGTCCCTAAAGTTGGTTTTAGAACTGAATTTTGTAGCATGCATTGCCACCTTTTAACAGCTGATCCTTGACCGCATTTATTATTAAAGTCTGATTTTTTTTTTTTTGGGGGGGTTGTGCTTTTTTCACAAAATGTTGTTTTCTCTTTGTTTTAGGTGACCATGGAGAAGACTCTGCAGCAGAAGAGGAAGGACATGCTAAATCCAGAGCAAGTCTAAGCAGCCAGTATGTATAATTTCATCTCTTATTTCTTCTTTGAGGAAATGTTTTTTTTTTTCCCATTAGGTCCACCCCACCCCCTTTCCCTCATGTAATGCTCTACTGTCTAGCACCACTATCACCAATAGTCCCTGCCAGGGCAGCTGTTCGAAAACCACGGGGCCCCGTACAGCCAAACTGACAGGGCCCTACAAAAAAAAACAGTTTACTATACTTCCACTATGAATGAACACAGTGAGAAATCGGTGCCAATCACTTGTTGTGTTCATTCAGGAAAGGAAGGGATTGGTAAATGTGACATATTTACCAGACCTTTCCCCCCACTCTCCAGCCTAAAGAATCCAATTGTCTGCTTGCAGCTGCTGGAGGGAAGGAGAGGAGGGAAGCCAGCAGCACTGTGGGGGTGGGGGTACACAGTGGGGTCCTGGGAAGCAAGGGAAAATGTATGGTGCACAGGGGGGTGATAGGTGCAGCTGGGGTGTGGCAATTACTGGAACCGATCCCCTGTATGTCTCTCTCTACAGCAGCTAAAAGCCAGCGGTAGGTAGAGGAGAAGCTTTCAGCTGCTGCAGAGAGACATTCATCGGTTACAGTAATTGCCTCCCCCCCCCCCCCACTGTGCTGATCACTCTCCCTGCCCACATCCGATTCACCCAGCTGCCTGGGCCCCCCTGCTGGCCTGGGCCCCATACAGGAGGACTGGTGGTACCCCCTTATCTACAGCCCTGGTCCCTGCTTTGTCTATTTTCTGTATACATAGAAGTACAAGGGGTGGCAGGAGTTTATGGGGTCATGGGGAGGCAGTTTAGAGCTTACAATCTAGGAAGAGGGGTTGAGTGATACAAAAGGTAATAGCTTTGGGGGGGATGAGCTGATGGAGGAAAAAAAAAGGCAGTTTACTAGAACATGAATCATAACTTTTTATATTCAATCTACGTGTTGCATAATTGAATGGATCAGAACACTGGATTCTTATATTAAGACCACCTTAATTCACAAGCTAATTTCTTTCCTTGTCTTTTTAGCTAGCACTCTGTCTTTCCGATGCACCTACTTTCCCTTTTTGTCATTCTATTCCTTCTTTTTTTTTTTTTTTTTCTTTTTTTTTTTGGGTCTATTCCCCAACTGCCAAATGTAATGATTTTAACCTGTGGACTGGACATATTGGTGGCAGCACCACATCTAGAGCCTACAGCCCAAGATGTTACTTCTAGTATAAATATTCTCTCCAAATGGCGATGTTATGAATGATCTCCTTAAGAGGAATTTTAGTATGTCCATAAAGGGTCTTGGTGTGTGCTATCAGGTAGCTAAAGGTTCCCTCCTTTCCCTATAGAAAAAAGGTTGCTTCTTAGGCATAGCAATGTTACCTTTCAAGTTTCCATGTTTATTTTTCATACTAGCATTGACTATTTTTGATGGCATTTATTATGTTGCATTGTTTTCATCTGACACTAGATGGCTCTAGAAGACTTGCTTTTATTAGTATCTGTTTATTCTGCTATGCTGTAAATTATAGGCCTACAGCAAGCTTTAAAGTATGGAATAGTGTGCAGAAAATAACACTCCAGGGACCTGAAAAGCAGATGGTCATGTTTCCCCTATTCCATCTCAGTTTGTGTGCAAGTAATAACATCTTGTACAAGTTATTGCCTATTTTTTCCTGTTACAGAAATGATGGTCCTTGTAATGGCGAAGCTAAAAAGTGTTTGTTGGAAAAAAGGCGTGCTACATATTACTGCCTCAGAAGCTCAGCTCTAAGCAGACACCAAGAAAATGCAATGTATTATATAAAATTGAACAGCGCAGATTCTATGAGTTAATTTAAAATCCTATATAATATTTAGTAAATGATAAAACGTTCTACAGCCATATAACTGCTTCTTCACATCTCTAGGGCTTGTAATGCTTTTTTTGCAGCACTGCTCTGTGCATGCTGTACTACCTCTTCTTCTTTTTTTTTTGGTAAAAAATTGCTTCTTGTACATGAATTTGGGGTGCATTACTTTTCATTAGATTGGCTATTTTACTTATTATGTTGTTCGCTGTAGTAAACCATATCCACAGTAGATTTACTGTGACTGAGTGCCAGCTGCAGGCTCAGCAATGTAAATAAACATTGCGAGCTTGCCTCCGGGACTGTTTAAAAACATACACAGAGCATGATCTGGCTGTTCCTTCTCCCGGCAAAGTATGGAGAAAACACAGCCAGATCTGTTAGTAAAAGCAGCACATATTACACACATTAACTTGTTAGGCACACAGTTAACCCTCTGATTGCCCCTAGATGTTAACACCTTCCCAACCAGTGTCATTATTGCAGTGAGAGTGTACAGTTTTAAATCTGATCACTGTATTAGTGTCACTATTGATGTCAGTGTCAGTTAGTCTACCTCCCAGCAAGGGTATGTTAGCGCCAGATTGCTTCCCACGCTATCACAGTCCCATTATAAGTCTGACAACCGCCAATACCAGTATAGCATCATAGCGTAAATTCCAGTATATATATCTTCGTTTCTAGACACTATACCTTTCACATAATTATTTATTTATTGTGGGGTTTTTTTTTTTTTTGGGGGGGGGGGGGGTTACCATATACTTGTAGCAGAATACATTTTGGCCTAAACTTATGAAGAAATTTAATTTTAAATTTTTATTGGATATGTTTTATAACAGTAGAAAATATAGTTTTTTTTGTTTTTTTTGTTTTTTTTTAAAAAAAAAAAGACAGTGGTGAGCAAATACCACCAAAAGAAAGCTCTATTTGTATTTAAAAAAATTAGAGAAATTTAATTTGGGTACAGTGTTGCATGATCGCGCAATTGCCTGTTAAAGTAGCACAGTGCTGAATATAGCCAGAAATGCTGTGGTCATGAAGGGGGTAAAACCTTCCAGAAGTCAAGTGGATGGTGTAGTCTTTTTTGGTCCTTTTTGCGTGATGCTATAAAATCCTTGGTGCTACTTACAATCTGATCCTTAACCACACATATCCATGTTGCACTGAGCAGTAGCCTCCTACTATAAACTTTAACACTTAGCCAAAAAATATGCAGCCCTCTGAGAATGATTGCCACAGTAGTTACTACAGTTTTCAGGTTGATTGGTAACAGTGAGATCAAAATTGTCCTTTAAATGTCTACAGGTATCTTAAGAGGAGTTTGAGTATGAAAGAAGAATTGTTGATGAAAGTGGAGAAAACATGGTCTGCAGTATGCTTTAATATGTAAATGTTATCTTGATTCCAAGGAGATCCAGGAGACTTGAACAAATGCAAAAATATAGGACAAAGAAAACAAGAAAAGCACTTTTAGAAGTCTGCCTAGCAAAGATAGCAGAATGAGGTTCTACAAAAACGTTTGGCTGGCGGTGAACTGTGTTTATGTAAAGTGCAGATAATATAGCTTTATACATTGCCCATTTGGTATTGTGCTGGTGCATGTGCAATTTTGCCAGCACTTATTTTTAAATTCTACTAAAGGATTTAGTATATATAGGGTATACAGTCAGTACATTTTGTGTGATGTTTATCAAGTATGTATTCTTTGACAGACATGATAACGATTTAACATCTTCCTTAAGAGACAGTGTGGAGGATTTGGATGCAAAAACAGGTATGTGGAGCAATTTTATTGATTTCTATAGATAGCCCAATCTTTTTATGACATGGGCCACATCCCATACATGAATGAATAGAAAGATAGCAAAAATTGGGATTTTGAAGGCACCAAAAAACATATTATTAGACAAAAATAAAACTACAAAATGTATTATTTTTCATTAAAAACATGGCAACAGAAGGGTCTTTGGTCAAATATCAAAGCCACAGTGAAACACATAAACATGAACAATGCATGTAGACACCGTTGCACCATATTTTCTCCACTTGATTATGACTGTCTCCACTGTGTTCCATGGTATATCTAATGCCTTGGAAATTCTTTTGTACCCTGACTGATACCTTTTCACAATAAGATCCCTCTGATACTTTGGAAGCTGTCTGCAGACCATGGATTTTGCTGTAGGATGAAACTAAGAAAATGTCAGGAAAGACCTACTCAAACAGCTGAACTTTATTTGGGGTTAATCAGAGGCACTTTAAATGATGGTAGGTGTGTACTGACTCCTATTTAAGATCATTTTGAATGTGATTGAACACAGCTACATCCCCAGTTATAAGAGGGTGTGCACACTTATGCAACCACATTATTTTATTTTTTTATGTTTACTCCCCCCCCCCCTCCCCCCCCCCCCCCCCCCCCCAAGAGATTTCAGTTTGTTTTTCATTTGAGTTGTACAGTTTATAGGTCACATGAAAGGTGGAAAAAGTTCTGAAATGATTTATCTTTGTCTCATTTTTTTACATCACAGAAACCTGACATTTTAACAGGGATGTGTAGACTTTTTATATCCATTGCATCTTTAGATATAAGTAGTTGCATCCAAAATACAGTATATTAAAGCTGAACTTCAAGCAGATATAAAAGACACAAATTAGAGCAGCTCTGTATTCATGTATGCATCATTTACTGTAATAAACTGCAAATTGTGTAAGTGCCTGAATTGGAAATGTCTGCTTAATTTTCCACATGCGTTTTGTAGCTCCTGCATTCAAAGTGGCCCCCAAGGCCACAGTCACATCCTTGATTAAGTAGAGCAGCCACAGTTTCTACTCTTTAGGGCATCCTGCTAGTACATGCCTTTAGGTTGGTGTCATGTCCTGGGGTGTTCCTGCTTTTATATATAGATTCAGGCTCCCTGGCAGTTGAGTGTATTCTGGCAGCTGTGGATCCTGCTGTCGGAATACAGTGTTCCAGTGGGGTAATTCTCTATTCTATTCCTCTATTCACTTCATTTTTATGGATAGAGGAATCTATTCTTTTTTATTTTTCCACCTGCTGCACCTTACTGTGTAAACCAGTTTATCAATCCTTGCAGCATACCAATGTTTAAATATAAATGGCTTCCCTTATTTTCACCTGGTGATCCAGTCAGTAACACACTTCCTATCTCAGTGTGACTCCGCTCTTAAAGGAGGACACCTTTGGACAGCAGCACTGTCAATCTGGGGTAAGGTATATGTACTAGCAGATTTAGATGGACTTGGCAAACAAATTAAAGCTGAACTGCAGCTAACACACTTTTAAGCTGTTACAGAAAGTTTTTTTTTTTTTTGGTGGGATAAAGGATTTAGATAAAGAAGGAGCATTATAAGCACCCCAATCAGTGTTAAATGGTTTGTCTATTAACCACTTGCCCTCCAGAGGATTTACCCCCCTTCCTGACCAGGCCATTTTTTGCGATATGGCACTGCGTTACTTTAACTGACAATTGCACAGTCATGCAATGCTGCACCCAAATGAAATTTACGTCCTTTTTTTCCCACCAATATAGCTTTCTTTTGTTTGGTATTTGATCACCTGTGCGTTTTTAATTGTTTGCACTATAAATAAAAAAAGATCAACAATTTGGAAAAAAACCCCCAATATTTTTGACTTTTTGCTATTAATGTCCAGTAAAAAAATTAAAAAAATCAAATTTCATCATAAATTTAGGCCAAAATGTATTCTGCTACATGTCTTTGCTAAAAAAAAATCCCAATGCATGTAAATTAATTGATTTACGTGAAAGTTATAACTTTTACAAATAGTGGTATATACTGGAATTTTTTTTACTAGTAATGGCAGCGATCAGCGACTTATAGCGGGACTGCGGCGGGCATTCTGACACTGGGGGAAACTGACTTGGTATCACTGACATCCCCAGTGACACCAATACAGTGATCAGTGCTAATAAAAAGCACTGACACTGTACTAATGGCACTGGGCAGGAAGGGGTTAACATCTGGGGCGATCAAAGGGTTAACTCTGTTCTGTTTCACTATGGGGGCTGTGTGTGTTTGCTTCCCTGTAAGCACACACACTGCTTCGTATGCAGAACCATACAAAGCAATGTGCAGGAGCTGACCGGGGAGAGATCTGTGTTGTGTATACACAAGTCTCTCCCCCGTTGGCGATACTGGGCGATCATGGAGTAATCACCGGCCAGGACCCAGTGATTGACAACCAAGGCCGCGAATGGCGGCGCAGGTAAGGCACGCGCACCCCCTAACCGGAATTGTAAAATCACGTGTGTGTGTATATATAATATGATTTTGTTCACCACCCGTGCTGCCCTGTAGCAGCATTTCTGTTAAAGGACATTAAAGCTGAACTTTACCCATAACAGTTTGATAACCTTTTTGTTGAAGCCCAGAGCAGTTACTTCCTAAATGGAAACTCTCCCCCTCTCTTTGGTCTCAGAAACTATGGGGTTGATTCACTAAAACTGGAGATAGAATAATCTGGTTCAGCTGTGCATGGTAGCCAATCAGCTTCTAACTTCAGGTTGTTCGATTAGGCTTTGACAAAAAATCCTGGGCGCTGATTGGTTTCTGTGCAGAGCTGCACAAGATTTTGCACTCTCCAGTTTTAGTAAATCAACTCATATATTTCATTTTCTTCAAATAAAATATGCACATTTCCAGACTTGTGTGTCTTTGCTCCATTAGAGGAAGGCTCAGAGAAGCATTACAGTGCTGAAGTTCACAGGCTGCCCATAAGGGAGAAAGTAGAGCACCAGGTGAAAATAAAAGAAAAAAAGCCTAAAAAAACTAACGCAGCCACAACATCAAATAACTGGTAAACTGCAGTATAATAATTCATTGATTTTGTGTTTGATACAGCTTTTGATATTTATTAGTAAACTAAACTGTTAGTATTGCTGCTGTTTGCATTAACTGATTCTGTTACAAAAAAAAAAATGCTGCTGGTGTGTCTGAAGGCCTTTCAGTATTGGAAAACCTCAAACTAATCAAAAAATGTCACCATTTCAGAGAAATAGTTGTCATTTTATGCAAATACATATAGTTAGATGATGTATGTGTGGTTTTCTTCATAATTAAAAGAGCAGAATAAAATAGATAGGAGGATACACATAAATAAGCACAGCTTATGATTACCAGTTAGGTGGCTGGCCACGTTCCTGTCTTAGATGCTGATTTTACAAGCATAGTAAAAGTTTTACTGATTTATGAGCTAATAATTATATGTTGCTAGTGTTTAATTTTATAATGTTTACCTTGATAATACTGATGGGCTGACAAATGGGTGGAATAATTATTCAAATGTCTGTGAGTGAATAATCAGGGCTGTCATCTCCTGCATGTAAATAATGTCTTGACATTAGCAGAGCTTAGCTTTGGTGAGCAAAATACAAGAATATCTTCTGTTTGATGTATTAAGCTAAAAGTACATAGTTTAGATGTACTTTGTAAAGCAAACTTTTTAGATGTTCAAACTGTTTTTCTCTTTTAGAAGTGTTTCTGAAGATATAAGTAACAAACAAATCTGTATATTACCTAAATAGATAAATATATGTACATTATGTGTATATATACTATGTATGTATGTGTATGTATGTATGTATATATATATATATATATATATATATATATATATATATATATGTGTGTGTGTATATATATATATATATATATATATATATATACACACACAAACACACTATATTGCCAGAAGTATTGGGACACCCCTCCAAATCATTGCATTCAGGTGTTCCAATCACCTCCATGGCCACAGGCGTATGAAATCAAGCATTTAGGCATGCAGACTGTTTCTATAAACATTTTGTGAAAGAATGGGTCGCTCTCAGGAGCTCAGTGAATTCAAGCGTGGTACCGTGATAGGTTGCCACCTGTGCAATAAGTCCATCTGTGAAATGTCTTTGCTACTAAATATTCCACGGTCAACAGTTAGTAGGTCACGTAAAATGAAAGAGCAAGGGTCAGCACATACTGTAGTGCACAGTGCTCAGAAGTCACCAACTATCTAAAGAGTCAATAGCTAAAAATCTCCAAAATTTGTGTGGCCTTCAGATTAGCACAACAGTGCGTAGAGAGCTTCATGGAATGGGTTTCCATGGCTGAGCAGCTGCATCCAAGCCTTAAATCAAGTGCAATGCAAAGCAAGTGGTGTAATGCAAGCCACCACTGGACTCTAGGGCAGTGGAGATGTGTTCTCTGGAGTGACAAATCATGATTCTCTGTTTGGAAATCTGATGGACGTGTCTGGCTTTTGGCGGTTGCCAGTAGAACGGTACTTGCTCGACTGCATTGTGCCAAGTGTAACATTTGGTGGAGGGGGGATTATGGTGTGGAGTTGTTTTTCAGGTGTTGGGTTTGGCCCCTTAGTTCCAGTGAAGGGAACTTTTAAGGCGTCAGCATACCAAGACATTTTGGACAATTTCATGCTCCCAACATGTAGGAACTTTTAGGGATGGCCCCTTCCTGTTCCTGTTCCAACATGACTGTGCACCAATGCACAAAGCAAGGTCCATAAATTCAGGGATGAGTGATTTTGGGGTGGAGGAACTTGACTGGCCTGCACAGAGTCCTGACCTCAATCTGATAGAACACCTTTGGGGTGAATTAGAGTGGAGACTGCGAGTCAGGCCTTCTTGTCCAACATCAGTGCCTGACCTCACAAATGCGCTTCTGGAAAAATGGTCAAACATTCCCATAGACACACTCCTAAATCTTGTGGAAATCCTTCCCAGAAGGGTTGAAGCTCTTTATAGCTGCAAAGAGTGGGCCAGCTCAATATTGAACCCTATGGACTAAGACTGGGATGCCATATATGTGCGTGTGTGTGTGTGTGTGTGTGTGTGTGTGTGCGCACACGGCTAATGTGTAAGGTAAAGTCTACAGGCTTGGAAAAATCTGTGTGTAAATGGATAGAAAACTGGCTAAAAGATCGTATTCAGAGAGCAGTGGTTAATGATTCATACTCTGAATGGTCTAGGGTCATCAGTGGTGTACCCCAAGGTTCAGTGTTGGGACCCTTACTTTTCAATATATTTATAAACAATATAGGGTCTGGGATTAAAAATACCATTTCAGTCTTTGCAGATGACACCAAGCTGTGCAGTGGAATAACGTCCTTACAGGATGTCTTCAACCTACAAGCTGACCTCAATGCACTGTTTAATTGGGCGACTATGTGGCAAATGAGGTTTAATGTTGATAAATGTAAGGTTATGCACTTGGGGGCTAAGAATATGCATGCATCATACATACTAGGGGGAGTACAACTGGGGGAATCATTGGTGGAGAAGGATCTGGGAGTTCTGGTAGATCACAAGCTTTGCAATGCCAAGCTGCGGTTTCTAAAGCAAGCAAAATCCTGTCTTGTATTAAAAGAGGTATAGACTCCAGAGAGAGAGATATCATTTTACCTCTGTACAAATCATTAGTAAGACCTCACCTGGAATATGCAATTCAGTTTTGGGCACCAATTCACTAAAAGAACATTGGCGGACTAGAGAAAGGTACAGAGAAGGGCAATCAAACTGATAAGAGGCATGGAGGAGCTCAGCTATCAGGAAAGATTAGAGGAACTGAATTTATTCTCTCTTGAGAAGAGAAGATTAGGGGGGATATGATCAACATGTATAAATACATCAGTGGGTCATATAGTGAACTCGGTGTAGAGCTATTCACCCTGGGGTCATCACAGAGGACAAGGGGGCACTCTTTATGTCTGGAGGAAAAGAAATTTAATCTCCAAAGACGGAAAGGTTTCTTCACAGTGAGAGCTGTGAAAATGTGGAATAGACTCCCTCAAGAGTTGGTTCTGGCCAGTTCAGTGGATTGGTTAAAAAAAAAAAAAGCCTGGATTCTTTTTTGGATACACAGAATATAACTGGATACTAACATTTTTAGGTAAAGTTGATCCAAGGAAAATCCGATTGCCCCTCGGGGGATCAGAAAGGAATTTTTTTCCCAGCAGGAGAAAATTGGATCATGCTTTGCTGGGTTTTTTTTTTGCCTTCCTCTGGATCAACTGTGGGTATAGGAGTATAACTTTTTTACTGGAAGGACTTTTGTCTTTTTTCAGCCAGACTAACTATGTAACTGTGTGTGTGTGTGTGTGTGTGTGTGTGTGTATGTGTGTGTGTATATATATATATATATATATATATATATATATATATATATACACACACACAAACACAGTATGTGCCTTTATGAATTAAAAATAGAATTTCTAACTGTCGATAGGAATTCCTTCTAAACATTCAGTAAGACAGTGTTTTTGAATTTTAATCTGTTTATTAGACACATGGCCTAGACTTTAAGGACTCATTCACACTATTGCTTTACCGTACACATTCATTGTACATGGCACCCTGGTGCGTTTTACATTAGGAGCCAAGTCACTCACATGGCAATTTTATCTGGACAATTGCTATGCATTATTATTTTACCATTATGCATGTAAAACACCCCAGTGGACCTCACGTGTGAATCCAGTCTAAAGTCCTATCTTTCATTTTAGCCCTCTAGATTTTCTCTTTACTGTTCTGTGCAGCTGAAGGGTACTTGGTATTAGGCATTTGGTCATACACATCCTTTGCTTGCCCAGATTTCGGTACAGGGATACACATAAAAATTACCATTGGTGACCATTTTTGCTGACCCTTCACCCTTGACCCTTTCTATAGTTTTATCTGGCAAGTTTTGACTTGATTGGCAGTCTTAACTGCACATGCATTTTTCTACTCTTGCACTTCTAGTATCTCTGCTTTTCCTTTCTAGTGACTTGCACTTTACACACTTTTTTTTGCTTTTGCTCTCCTATTCTTCAATAACCTTTTAGTCTTATACAGCAGATACTGTGCATCGTGCATCATTCAACCATGTTTTCTCAATTAGAAAATCAAGCTGTAATTCTAATATAGATTATCTCCAATTTTGTCTAGTGTTGGGGAACACATAAGAAACAGAGTACTTTTTTATCTTTTACAGGAAAAGGAGAAGACTATGATGCTCTTAGCATTAATGCGGATACCTATGATAGTGACATAGAAGGGACAAGCTTTGAAGAACGTAGCCATGACCCATCTGTCACAACTGCCACAAAAGTAACTGGAGAGCCTGATGACCTTGTGATGGATATTGAAAAAAGCGTCAATGAAATTCTTGGCCTGGCTGAGCCAATAGCTGAAGAGACGCCCCCTGGACCAGTTGCTGTACTCCCAGAGGACATACAACCATCAGCACAACAGCTTGAGCTGCTTGAACTGGAAATGAGAGCTCGTGCTATTAAAGCCCTTATGAAAGCTGGTGATGTGAAGAAGACATGATATAGCACAAATTGTTTACAACCATTTCTTATTTAAGTTTAGTTTTAACCAATACAATTGAATGTTTAAATCTAAGTGTTTTTTTTTTTGTTTTGTTTTTTACTCGCTGCCATATTAATAGGAATCTAACATTAGCAAGTTGTTCACATTAGCAAGCTGCCTTTGCTGACCAAACCTAATGAAAGTGAACCTGCTAACTGGCTATCTATACCTTCTGAGACATCTTCAGAACACCTAGGCTGCATACTTGTATCAGGGCATGACTCAGATAGTATTGAAACCATTAGATGTGTATTACAGCCAAGTATCCTATATTTTCCGGTTTCCTCTAAAAAAAAAAAAATGACAGTCTTTTCAGTGAAAAATAATCAATAAACTTTTTAAGAATAAAAAGTAATTTAAATCATATCAAACATTTTTGGTTCTCGTATTCCTTTTCCTTACTACTATATATTATAACATCTGACGTACAGTATTGCTTTTACTGTGCACTAGAAATAAACATTGATTACTTGGTTATAAGTAAAAGTGCACTTTAAATTTAATACAGTTACAATTTAAGTATAATACAGAAACCGTTGGGTTATACTGCCAGCTAAACAAGGTTAGGACACTGGCAAACAGAAAAATTGTAACTTGGTCAACATATAATCCCTTCTGTCTCCCACTGTCTCATTTTTTGCTAGTGTCCTATTAGGTTTTATGTCTCCTCAGGTCTACTTAAATAGTCCGTTTTTTGCTAGCCTTTCTTTCTTTGTTATGGTCCTGGGATGTTCCTATACTCGGTTTTCAGTCTGTGTTCTTTCGGAACAGACATTTGTCTGAGTTTCTCACAGTGAGTTGGTTCCCTGGGTTGGAGTCGCAGATCTTCACCTCTAGGAAATCCTACTTGTGACAGGACAGGTGACCTGGTCCATGCACTGTTCTACTCTTATTTGAGTCAGGGCATTGACATCTGGCGCTACTAACCTACGCACTGAAGGGAGTGGTTTGCATAGTTGGGTGCTCTTCATCCCCCTAGAGGTGGCCAGTTGACATGATAAGCATGTTCCTGTTGCAATTATTGTGGTATTAGCGCAAGTTTGAAGACTTGTATACCTCTGTGATATTATTTTAATAAAAAGCCAGCTTTACAGGGGTTAAGGAAGTTTGCTCTACTCCACACATCCAATGGCACCTTAATGTTTCCACACAAATGTTGAAAGGCTTAACAAGGGGGGGATGGGGGGGCATTCATAAACTTGAAACAAGTTGTTATAGATAACAGGAAGTGAGAAGTGAGACTTTCAGAGGAGGGATGTGCAGTGTGGAATGAGCCACACTGTAGAACACTGCATGGGCGTGAGTTTTACCACTCCAGACCTGATCTGACAGCCACTGTGGAGGTGGAGGAGAATCACCAAATTCTTCCTGCATTGTTGCTAGCCACAGCTATTTCTTACACACCTCAAAGCTGTCCCTGTACTGTACACTGCATCATAGCACCTGGTTATGTGTAAGTGTATTGATTCCTTTTTTTTTTTAATTATTATTAAAAAAGCTGTTTTTATTGTACCAGACCATTGCAACCATTTTTTTTAACCTTAGTCTTTGGCAGCTTCCCCTGTTTTGGAGGGGGATTCTTCTCATCTGGTTTAGATTCAGGCGTTGGTCCTTCAGGTAGTTCTGAGTTGCAAATGGTTACAGTGAAGGAAATAAGTATTTGATCCCCTGCTGATTTTGAATGTTTGCCCACTCACAAAGAAATGATCAGTCTAAAAATCGAATGGTAGGTGTATTGTAACACTGAGAGACAGCAACAACAAAAACAAAAGAAATGCATGTGTAACAAATTATGCACTGATTTGCTTGTTCATGAGCGAAATAAGTATTTGATCCCCTTCACAAAACATGACTTACCGTATTTTTCGCCATATAAGACGCACCTGACCATAAGACGCACCTAGGTTTTAGAGGCAGAAAACAGGAAAAAAAAATTCTGAACTAATGGACTGCAGACACAGTACAGGAGATGACCAGAGACTGCGGACAGCACAGGGATGACCAGAGACTGCGGACAGCACAGGGATGACCAGAGACTGCGGAAAGCACAGGGATGACCAGAGACTGCGGACAGCACAGGGATGACCAGAGACTGCGGACAGTACAGATGACTGCTGACCTTTGGGGAGGTGGGGAGCGGGTACCTGAATTTGACAGGTACCCGCTCTTACTTCCGCAGAGTTTTTGTTTGATCTTACCTGTTCCTCGATCCAGCCGCGCGCTGTCTTCCCGGCTTCTGTAATGGCGCTCGGCATGACAGCCGGGTGCCCAGTGCGCATGAGCGAGAAGCACTTGCGCTTTGTGATTGGTCCGGCGGCTTCTGGGATTTGTCATGTGTCCCAGGTACCGCCTTACCATTCACAAAAAGCACCGCTTCTTGCGCATGCGCACTGGGCACCCGGCTGTCATGCCCAGTGCCCACACTACAGAAGCCGGGAAGACAGCACGCTGCTGGATAGAGGAACAGGTAAGGTCCCGCTGCAGAGCTGAGCGGCCGGCCTGGTATTCTGACACAGCCGCGGTGGAAATACCGGACCAGCCGCTCCATATTCGCCTTATAAGACGCACTGACATTTCCCCCCCCAGTTTTGGGGAAGAAAAGTGCGTCTTATACGGCGAAAAATACGGTAGTACTAGGTGGCAAATCCCTTGTTGATAATCACAGAGGTCAGATGTTTCCTGTAGTTGGCCACCTGGTTTGCACACATCTCAGGAGGGATTTTGGCCCACTCCCCTTGGTAGATCCTCTCCAAGTCATTAAGGTTTGGTGGCTGACGTTTGGCAACTCGAACTTTCAGCTCCCTCCACAGATTTTCAATCGGATTAAGGTCTGGAGACTGGCTAAGCCACTCCAAGACCTTAATGTGCTTCTTCTTGAGCCACGCCTTTGTTCCTTGACTGTGTGTTTTGGGTCATTGTCATGCTGGAACACCCATCCACGACCCATTTTCGATGCCCTGGCTGAGGGAAGGACGTTCTCACCCAAGATTTGACGGTACATTGCCCCGTCCATCGTCCCTTTGATGTGGTGTAGTTGTCCTGTCCCCTTAGCAGAAAAACACCCCCAAAGCAGAATGTTTCCACCACCATGTTTGACAGTTGGAATGGTGTTCTTGGGGTCATAAGCAGCATTCCTCCTCCTCCAAACATGGCGAGTTGAGTTGATGCCAAAGAGCTCAATTTTGGTCTCATCTGACCACAACACTTTCAACCAGTCCTCCTCTGCATCATTCAGATGTTCAGTGGCAAACTTCAGACGGGCCTGGACATGTGCTTTCTTGAGCAGAGGGACCTTGCGGGCACTGCAGGATTTCAATCCTTGTCGGCGTAGTGTGCTACCAATTGTTTTCTTGGTGACTGTGTAGTTCTGGGATGATTCCTCACTGTTCTCATGATCATTGCACGAGGTGAGATCTTGCATGGTGCACCAGACCTAGGGAGACTGACAGTTGTTTTGTGTTTCTTCCATTTATGAATGATTGAACCAACTGTTGTCACCTTCTCACCAAGCTGCTTGGCAATAGTTTGGTAGCCCAGTCCAGCCTTGTCCCTGACATCCTTGGACAGCTCTTTGGTCTTTGCCACGGTGGAGAGTTTGGAATCTGATTGTTTGATTACTCCTGTGGACAGGTGTCTTTTATACAGGTAACAAAATAAGATTAGCAGCACTCCCTTTTAAGAGACTGCTTCTAATCTCAGCTTGTTACCTGTATGAAAGACACCTGGTAGCCAGAAATCCTGCTGAATGATAGGGGATCAAATATGCAATTCCCTTATGAACATGCAAATCAGTGCATAATTTGTTAGACATGCATTTCTTTTGAATTTTTTTTTGTTGCTATTCTGTCTCTCGGTGTTACAATCCACTTACCATTTGATTTTTAGACTGATCATTTCTTTGTGAGTGGGCAAACATTCAAAATTAGCAGGGGATCAAATACTTATTTCCTTTACTGTACCTGTCCCTTATGAAACTGTTAGTGGCTGCTATCACCCCAGGTTTGTACTGCTTTTAGGTGTTCTGATTAATTCTGAATGCCAGTGTCCTTCAATGAACGAAAAAGATAATAGTGATTTTGACCTTGCCATTAAATCTATTTCTTGAGATCTAAGTCTGCTGGGTAGAGAAGGGGTTTATATGGGTCTGACTTACAATTTTTTCTGTTTGCCAGTGTCCAAACTTCCAGTAGGCTACAGTTTAACACAACTGTTTCTAAACTCCTGTGCCCCTCAATGGACTCCAAGTAAGTACACAAATCTCACTGTAGCAATCTTGATCTAGATACAGACCTGTATTTTGAATGCTTTTTCAGAAGCCATTTGTAACATCATTTGGATCCTAAACTGGGTATGGAGCATCCAAACAAAGAGGACTATCAACGCCTTGAGCAAACTGCAGTTAGTTTATTATATTAAATAGTGTAACACATTTCAATGCATAATGAAATCAGATTAATACTTGATGCAACCTATTTGACCTAACAAGTTATAGTTGTTCAATGCATCATGCTAACCGAAACATACCCATGGTGTTTGTTCTGCTCCTTACTCTGGTAGTGTATGTAAGTAACAATGCACCACTAAAACATGGATCATAGCGATAGAGGAGACCAGATAGTCTTTGTAGAAAAAAAAAAACACTGTCTGAGGTCTTGTTTTTTATTTTACACATATATGCTTTTTTATGTTACTAAGGGGTGTAGGTGAAACTGATAAAGCTATAACATAATGTTTAGGATCTTTATATTAGCCATGTGACTGTAATTTTCAAATTTCAATTGGCTCAAACTAAATTTTAATTCTTTTTTGTTATTAATTAAGGATCCTCAGCCCCGTGTGTTAATTTTGTCAAACCCTATGTGTATAAAAAGTTGATCAAATTTAAAGTGTCATCCATAGCAGCCAGTTACATCTTCTTTCATTTCTTTAGTATATCATCGGTAATCCTGGAATCTAAA